TTACAGACAGCTTTAGGATCACCTTAACGTCAAACTTTAATTACTTATCGACACTGTTTGATTTATTTTCGTTTGCGTACTCTTGATCTACTCGAAAATAAGTTTATTGGAACTCGAAAATAGCTCCATATGCATGGAGCGAGATAAAAATGCAGAAAGTATTGTTATCAATTTTCTAAAATTGTTTATTTCATAGAACCTATTTTTTTTTTTTTACAATCTTTTGGTGTTTGTACACGTATATTAATTTGCACATACATATAACATGCTCTGTCAATAAGAATGTCAATCGTTGTATTGCATTGAGATACGCTGAGTCTTTCTTTCATCTTTCAGGATCCCCGTGGAATAACTCGAGTGGCTGCGATGAGGAACGTAGACCAGCTCAAAAGGAGGGTAAAAAGTCAAATGTGTTGCCACTTTGGGGCAATGAGAGGACTATGAATTTGAATCCTTTGATCCTCACCAATATACAGTCGTCACATTATTTCAAGGTGAATCTGTATGAACTCAAAACTTATCATGAGGTGATCGATGAGATCTATTATAAGGTCTCTCACCTTGAACCATGGGAGAAAGGCAGCAGGAAGACTGCGGGCCAAACCGGCATGTGTGGAGGCGTGAGTATGTTTTCTCAGAATGAACATCGAATTTGATTCTTTTTATCTTTTAAAAAGCCTTTTTGTAATTATCAATGTATTTGTTGGAAGTCTAAGGCTTGTGAGATGTTGCATAAATGTATTCGCTTGTACAGAAAACTGATTGTATTGCACCTAGCCGAAAACCTATGGGCAAATTATCAGACGAGAGTAGTACACAGTGATTTGAATGCAACCGTGTGTTTGATGTGTTCTAATGCAATATTAGTTATTATTACAAGACGGTTTTTGAAATTTAAACACTGACAGAACCCATTTTTGTTCTTTCTCTCTGTCTTTCATTCAATACGTTCATTCCCACGTCTTTTAAATGATTTTTCAGCTACACTTAGTAAACTAAATGTTTAGAAAAAGAAATTACATTTTTATTTTTAGTTGAGAAAATTGAAAGTTAAAATTATGATGGAACAATATATGAAACAGAGATGGTGTTCTAATGCTTGTTACAAAATAGAACGATGTTACAGTATAGTAGAAAAAAGTCATTTATTTCTGTCAAAACTATTAGGTGAATTATTGAACAGCGAAAAGTTTTGGTTAGTGCAGCGATTTTTACTTGTTCGTAAAAAAAATCGCAAAGTTTGTCACGTATACGATGGTAGTATTGCCAATGCTTAAACAATTTAAACGCCTTGGTACTATTACTGTTGCCAGACGCAAAATGTTAATCGCACTACTTAATTGCAGAGTAGCATGTATTCGGTCCATTATTATACAGTAACATGAATGTGATTTAACTGACTGAGGGGGGGTGTAAATGTAGCGGTTTATGCAGGTACGAGGTGTGGGAGCTGGCGGAATTGTTTCCACGGCATATTGTCTACTGTACAAACTCTTCACGCTGAGGCTAACCAGGAAGCAACTGAATGGGCTCATTAATCATCCGGACTCACCCTACATACGCGCTTTAGGATTTATGTATATTAGGTAAGTCTTATCTAATATATTATGTCATCTTAATTCTCTATTAAACCCATACAGAATAATTTTATCGCAAATTTTTTTCAAGATATATAATTTTTAGTAAAAAGAATATATTCAGATTAAAAATTTATTAGAAACGTGCTTATTTTTTAAATTAGTTATATTTGCTTGCTAGCTAATTATATATTTTATCCTTTTTTATATTTTTTATTTAGTTTTAGCATAATTATAACATATAGTTGGAAACTTAAAAATGACATAAAATATTAATCATAATATAAATCTGTTAATCCTTTATCACAGGTAAAGGATTAATAGTGGTGTATGTATACACATGTGTGTGTATCTATACATATATATATAAAATGGCAGTTAAAGGGACAAATTTGCTTGATTTAACATGGATACACTAATCAAAACTGCTGCGAGTAGTCACTTGAATATCCTTTCAGACCCTGTAAGCTAGACTTGCAACGTCTAACCGTTCAAGTCAAACTATAAACTAGTTATGATTATGATTATATATACACAGTACGGTTACGATTAGATACACACAGCCACCGGCAGACTTGTTCAGCTGGTACAGCGACTATCTGGAGGACGAAGAGGAATTAGATGTGAAGGCGGGCGGCGGGCAAATGATGAAAATGGGCGACATTCTCAAACAATTCCTCACCAAACTCGAGTGGTTCTCCACGTTGTTTCCACGGATACCAGTACCGATTCAAAAGGATTTGGAGCTGCGATTGGCCGAGCGTTTTCCGCAGCAGCAGGTGAATGCGCGAAACGCTAAACCGCCGATTACTCTTAATAGCCACGGCAAGTACGGCAATAAAGATGGCCGTAAGGATAATGGTAATTTGACCGCGCGTAACCAGCAACCCCGACATATCCCCGACAACGAGGCTCAGTGGGGTGAGGCCGAGCGTATGAGCCAGTGGCGTGCCAGGTGCGTCCACGTGGTATGAATACAATGATCACGTTATTAATATTTGGATAAAGAGGTCATCTCACAAATAATTTTTTGAAATTTTAATGTTTTACGTATTTCGAAACATAGAAACTGATACAATCTGATAAAAAAATTTTGTTCTCGCGTTTTGTCTAGATATCCAGAAAATTATCTTTGATGTACAGTTGTCGATTTAGCGAAGAGTTAAAGTTTTTTTTTTTATGTCGAGTCTTGCAATCAACCAATCGAGACAACCAATGTCATACTTCCGTTTGAACGTGTCTCTTTGCAGAACCGACGAGGATCGTAAGGACAAGAATAGAGAGCGCGATCGAGAGCGCGAGAGGTTGCGGGAGCGTGACAGAGAAAGAGCTCGCGAACGTGAGAGAGACAGGCACGGTAGAAGGTCTAGCAGTCGTGATAGAAATAGAAGACAGAGGGATTATAAAAGTCGCAGCAGAGACAGGTCACACAGAGATCGGAGCAGGGATCGCAATCGCGACAGAGACCGACATCACAGGTAAGGACAGGTAAGGACAGAAGCAAAAATAGAGATTTCTTAAAAGTTTTGATCGATATTGTATTTTAAAGGATAATTATTTTGATTTTAGAAGAGGCTCGCCGTATGACTACGCCGCAGAGTTAGTACGCGAGCGCGAGAGGCAACGAAGGGAAAGAGAATAAGAGACGATTACACATTGTGTACATATTTAATTATTTCTACGAACTAATATGTAACTATGAGCATTAAGGAAAAAAGCGACAGTAGCTGCCGAGCCAAGTCACCATCACCACCACTACAATCACTATCTCTCATCAGCATGTGCATTAAGTACGTTCACAGGGGAATGTTTTCCGAGGTGGAAATAAGTGGAATTAAGTTTAATGTGTAACATGTAGTTTACATGTTTTTATAAAATAAACTCGTCACTGTCACTGCTGCTGTCACTGCTTCATTGTGTATCCCGCAATATTTTTGCATCTGTCACTTCAGATTTCTTCAAGCAAAAGGGGAATTTGTCTCGAATGTGCTTTTACTAACTAAACTGAACTACGTTTGTTTAGCTTCAAGTCTCTCAAAGTGAGCGAAAGCTGAGTTCGCCTCTTCGACTATCTCTCATAGAGAAGGAAAAAAACCTTATTTATTTCATATGATAGAATTGTATTGTAGAAGATAGGATATTATAGAAAATAAAATGTAACATTTATATATTTCAGCATTTATGATGAAAAAAATCATGCGGCAGATGTCGTAATTTCTTTAATAATATAGGAAGAAAATTTCAGTTATGTGTACGACGCTTATTTGTTCATACATGAATGCCTCGAGTTATCCAATACGGACACATATATCCCTCGTTATTCTGATTACTGCATCGCACAGTTTATATCTGGAAGGGCTACAGAGCAGAACGCGGTACTTTTCAGTTCGCAATTTTTCATTCGTGTATTTAACTGTTATTCGTATTGTTGAATATTAATTAATTATTACGTGTTAATCAAAACATTTTTTTTTAATTTCTGTGAAATTTTTTTTAATGACATAAAAAAGTAAGAGTAATCAAAATTGAATTTTTAAAATGAATGTTTCTGCAAAGAAAATTTCTCGTTCAATTTATCAAAAATATATCATATTGTTCAGTTGTGTTCCAAAAGTTCTTTTCCGGAAAAGAACTTTCGCAAAAACGCGTAATTAGTTGCACTGTACCACGTTCAATCTGGTGAGGTCATATTAGTCACAATAGTCTGTAGCTACTAGCTAGTCTGTATTCTGTAGTCACACTGGTGAGAGAGGTGAGTAAAAATGGCGCCGATGCCCGGACGCGGATGAGACGTCGGCGTCGGTAGGGTCGGCGGCAATCGACGAAGGATGAGACAGACGCGAGTTACCAGGTGACAGCGGACGCGTGGCCAATGGCTTCAAGGTGAAGATGTGATCAAAATTAACATTATCACGTGTTACCATGTTTGTTGAAAATGCGGTCAATGCGCCGGATATCGGTCGTTTGGTCGTTCGAATAAGTTTTAGATCTCTCTTATTAAGAATTACAGTGTGTTTGTTTTATTAGAGTCCACGTGTATCTATATAATTATGATCCAGCTGGAGACTCGGTTAATCATAAATAACGATAACTATATCGAAGCTGGGTCACGAACGTCAACGAATGTCACGAAGTCGCCATAATGCCACAAGCAGAAATTGCGTAATACAGTCGCCAATATGACGCGGGAAATCTGTTCTTAGCTCTTTAATATAAAAAAGAAAATGAAAAACTTATGTTTACATTAATTTTATTAGTTTTAGAAAATTACCTGTTGTAATGTCCTGCAATCTAAGCTTGTGAATAGGAAAAAGAGATGTATTTATTTCGATGGAAAATACAATTATCATTAAGGCAGTTAGTGCTCCTTAAAAGCACTTAAATTTAAATTATTGAAAATTAAATTATTGAGATATATATATATATGTAATCTTTTGACGAATTTGACCTGGCATAAAAATTATTATTTAATTTAGTGATTGATTACAGTAATTGATGAGAGTGATCTATTAAATAATTAAGATTGAAATAAATTGATGGTGACTTGTAATTTTAAATATTATTTACAATTAAAAAATTATTACATGATAATCGTGAGATTATATATACAAATTCATAAAAATTGCAGATGATTGGCCGACGTTGCACTCTTTTCGCCTTGAGCATTCTCTTGATCTTGGTCCTCAGCGTAAACATCTACTTTATCCGAATGATCGTCGAGAGTTCTTCCTCACATAGGACGTACGCCAAAAATTTACCGGAACCGAAACCCAGGCAAGATCCCTCCACGTCTTCGCGATCCAGTGAAAAAGATTTGCCGCAATTGAGGTCAATCGCAAAGGATATCGGCGAGAGGCTCAAAGAAGAGATTCGCACGCTGCCCTCCAAATATTTTAAACAGAACACCAGCTACACTCTCGTTCTGGAACGGTTGCTAGCCGAGCTAACGATAATGCCGAATGTCCGCGAAGATATCTGGAATATTCCCAATAATAATGTTAGTTACAAAAATCTTAAGTGTTTCAAATTTCTTAATAAATAAGAGATTTAATAAAAATTTATATGTAATGTTGTATTAAAAAGAATAGAAAGAAATAATTTCTGTTATCTCTAATAATACATTTAAATTTATCTTAATTGTATGTTATTCGAGACGAGTTTGCTTCTGATCTTTCTGTTTCTAAAATACTTGGATTTTTTTATCTCTCAATCAATTTTGAAGAATAGGAGGACATTCTGTTAATTTACAATTATATTTTTATAATGTATTTGACCAAGAGACAAATTCAAGAAATAAAGTGTAAATATAATTAAGTATAAATATTATTTTGTTATATGTATAGTGGCCAGATGCACATCAACTGATTCCGCCGGCAGCACCGGAGCTGGGGACTATTTTGGAAGTTTTGCGGAGATCTAGAGTGGTCCGTGCGGATAACGCTCCATTGGGTACACAGCTGAAGCTTATGCTCAATCTCGAGAACGACGTAAAAGCATTATTTAAGCCACAATGGTACTCCAGACACGCTATTATACACGGACCAGTGTACCATGGCAAGGATCGGCACAATGCTGAAGTGGTGGCTTTTCATTTATCATCCTTGTTGGCATTGCGAAGAGTACCACTCGCCGTTATGCGAAAACGTATGTTAAAGTTGAACAAAATGACAAGACTTGAAAAAGATTCATGTAATAATTATATTTCTGTTTATTTTAATAGATATCTCACTTGAATTTTCAAGAATTTGCAATAAAAACTTTAATTAATTATAATTAGCTTTTTCCAATAAACTATAATCGGAATTTTTTGCTGTAAATTGATGAAATAAGGGATGTACACTCTCGTAGTTGATCTAAAAGAAGAGGTTGGCAACCGCGCGACGCCGGCACTATACGCAACTATGTATCAAGAGGGTAACGATACGTGCCTATATGGCGTTTGTCATTATTGTTCTCCATCCGATCCCGTCTGTGGAACGGGGGATGTATTGGAGGGTGCTCTCATCTTTTGGCTTCCGCGATACTTAAGACTGGTCAAGCATCGTCATCCTTGGCAGCGGACTTATAAAAGAAACAAACTTGCTGCGTGGGAAATAGATGAGGGCTATTGTGATAAAGTATTATTATATTGCTTAGATTATAAAAATATGTATAAAAATAAATTTAAATATAATAACAAAATATATGAAGTTGAGAAAACGCGATTATAAATAACGTTCGATGTCGAAAATATATAATTGATTTGTCTTTTAGGTAAAAGACTCAAAGGCTTATTCGCCGCAATCGTCGAGTAGGCTCTTGGATTTGATCGACACAGCGATCTTCGACTTCCTTATGGATAATGGTGATCGGCATCATTATGAACTTGCGCAGAATAATTTCCATAATCCCGCAGTGCTGCTGATCGATAATGGAAAAAGCCTAAGCAATCCTGATGTGGATCACCTTGACATCCTAGCGCCTCTCTACCAGTGCTGCATGTGAGTATAATCTGCTACTTACTGCGAAAATTATGCAAATTGAAAAACATGCCAAGTACTTAACGTACCTTATTGATTTTTTGCAAAATTTGAAATTTGGAATTCCTAAAGGGCTTGTTAAAGCTATCTTATAAATTTGTCTTCGGAAAGTGTCTCTCCTTTAATTACTGCGCTCAGAAACTATGTAAGAAATGGTATCAATTAAAAAAAAAACTGAAAAAAATTTTATTCCATGAACTTTATTCCAGGATTCACAAAACGATGTGGGATAGGTTGCGACTGTTTAGTGGTGGCTCTTTAAGCATCGCATTAGGTAGACTTCTTGTACATGAAGCTGAAATGTCAAATGTTTCTCCACTCATCACAGAGGCGCACTTAAGTGCCATGAATAGAAGACTGCTTACCATTTACGCTGTAGTAGAAAATTGCCTGAAGAAAAAGAAGTACATTTCTAATGTAATTCTAGATCATCGGTAGTCCAAGAACAATTCTTAGGATGAGTGAAAGTTATATATAAAAATGTAAACGTTTCTTGTAAAAAGTAGATAGATATGAAGATTTATTATCTAATTAAAAGCTAATAAGATAATAAAATTAATAAAAAAAATTATATGGAAGACATTCCAAGCAGAAAAATTAAAATGAGTGTTCTTTTGTAAAAAGATTATAAGAAAAATATAAAATATATAAAAATTAAACATCTTGTTTTGGTAATTATAAAAAAATTTTTATAATTGTCATCGGCCGTCACAAGGGTGTCGCAGGTGGGATTAAGGATGATTAAAGATTAACTAATCTCCCCCCGCCCCCATTATATATCATTGGAAACTACAAACAATTTGCAATGCTGGAAGCTGGCACCAATAACAATAACAAATAATTTGATGCTTGACAAATTTATTGGCATGTGATGATTTAGTAATAAACTAGATAAAATTTGAAAAAATTTCGGAACCGGTTTCCAAAAAGATCGGTAATGAAAAATTAACCACGACATTTTCATCCACGGAAAATTTTACCCCTATTTCATATACTTTTGGTAAAAATTTGGTCCACTAACGAATGAGCAGTTCACGTACATACAGACAGAAGACGGTACTTATATATATAGATAATCTGGTCGCATCAAGTATGAAAGGAATTAATTCAGTAACTTGTCGCGTTGTTGTTGCGTTAAAAGTTCTAACGATCGTACTGGATATTGATAATATTGCGATAGATTATGAAATTTGGTTTTCCCGGATTGGATCATGTCAGGTCCTACGAGGATTTTGTGCTTTCTTACGACAGGCGAAACAGAGTTTTGCCTCATTGGGTGTTTGAACACTTGACCAAGAAAAGGTTGCAGTACAACAAGGAAGTGGATCGTTCCAAGTGCGAATTCAAACCCGTTGTACCTTCCTAAGTGCGTTTGCTTGCTGGCAGTTTCCAGTTTTGCTTTGAATCTTGTCTATTTTTATATTATTATATGCATTTATAGGAGAGAAACGGATGGAAAGAAATATGTGCGTTATGAGGTGATAGGCGCGAATCATGTGGCGGTGCCTACACACTTTTACAAGATGATCGTCGGCGAAACCAACAACGGCAAGCTCGAAATGAAAGCTTTTGTGATACGCCGATTGACGATAACGTACCGCTCACTAATTTTCAGGTACTACTTTGCATTTCAAGAAATTATAATTAAAATGTGGAAATGATATCAAACTATGTAGGATACATTTTGTATCTATAAATATGTATATAAGTGTATCGCAATATAAACGTAATTAAATTGTCAATACAATTGCTTATTAATTGGAAGCAAATATTAAAATTAAACGTATTGAAGTAATTGCATGAGTGTAAAAAATAAGCGATGTGTATGAAATTTATTCAATGTGTAACAAGATATAATAAATTTATATTATAAGAATCTGATCAATTTTTTAACAGGTGCCACCAGACAGCAGCGAACGCGCTGCCGGGCTTTTTTGACAAAATATCGCGCAATAAATTAAGCAAAGTGAACGGCAAGAACACGGGCTAGATTTGAAACGACTGCTCAATTCACTCCATTCCTTTTTCTTAACCAATAGAAAATTCCCAATTTTCAGATATTCAGATTGTAAAGAGTTTTAATTTCTGACGCACCATCGATCGTATATTTAAATCTAGTCGATTATTTTTTAGCTCATTGTACATAATTTATACAAGTTTTATCAATCACGATGTTTTATATTATTCATACATACTATGTATTATTTTAGCTGCTCTGTATTTTATCGAATAATAAAGATACAGATATTTGTCGATGTGTTAATCAATTCGTTTGTTTATACATGCGTTTATTGATTTTGTACATTTAGTCGTCCACTTGGAGTCCTATACCTACTTGTGTAACGCACTGTATTGCATATCTTCGACTCGATCATACCGAATAAAACGTTCAAATCTATCGTATTTATTTTCTCGACTCATATATCGCGAGAATTTAGATATATTTACCGCGAAATAAAAATTATGTGTATAAATTTTAGATACGATAGCGTTTGAAATGAGCAAAAAACGGAACAGTTATTAATTTGCCTGAACTATATACATATTCGAATAATTTTTACATATTTTGGCATTGACAAAATTGATTAAAAAAGATGTAATTTATACAATTTACTTTTTTCAAATATATAAATATGGAATGTGTATATAGTATATATATATTCGGTATGTTACATATATATCTGAATTTTTCGTTATTTCTCTTATTTCAGACGCTCGGAACTCAGTCTTGAACACAAATGCTTTATAAATGAAAAATCAAACGCTTATAAAATCGCAAGATGATTTTTACAGAGTAAAATCTTATAATATAAGATATCGCCTCGTCGCTACTTTGGTCGTGGTATAAGTACGTATTGATTAATACGTTTGTTATCGTTAAATATCTACTTAATAGTCATATAAAATCCTAAATATGATAAAGTCGTTAATAATCTTTTCGGCTTACAAGCTATGTCTATGTACAAAATTAACAGGCGTGTAATAATGTGAGTTTTTCCGTGCGCGTTCAGAGTTTTCCTTTCTTACGCTGATATCGGAAACGCTCGACAGTATCGACGTTTTTTTTACAATAAGTCGAAATATGTGTCGCTGTTTGACAATATTTAAAACTTAACATATATATAATTCCTGCGAAGATAGGCAAATTAAAAGGGAACTTTATTGTAATTAAATTAATAAAAAATCTAAACTAAAATTGTATCGAAGAAACTACGTTAAAATTGAAATAGAATAGAATATATTCTATTCTATTCTATTTATCTTATTGAACCTCTGATGAGAAGTTTAAAAATAAATGGTATTAAAAATGAGATAGGAATCGAAACGAGTTAAAATTGGAACAAAATCAAATAGAGAGATTAAATAAAAAAATAATTAAAATTAAATTTCCAAGAGAAAGTTATTATTAAATTATTAAAATTTAATTAGAGGAAAGCAAATAATCAAGGCAATAAGGAATTAAGAATTTGGATCTTTATATAGAGTTTTTGAAAATTTACACACACAGATTATGTAAATTTCCTTTAATTCACCTATTCTTTTGCAAGTGTAAGAACATTATGCATTATTCTCGAGATCTCAAATGTGTTTAAGTCGTAAGCTTTTTTGGAATATCGTCCTGCTTGCTTCCTCTGTTTCTTCTCGTCCATCGATATTGCATGCATCGCAACTTATAAATAATATCTCTTTAAGCAGAGTATAGATTAGGCACTAAAATGGACGGGTCTGTTTGCTCGGATTCGCCTCCTTCGAGTATTGCTTAACGTCTTAAGGACACTTCTGAGAGCTTTAAGTACACTTCATTATAATCTACGTGATTTATTTTACGCGTGTCGTTTACAGGGTGTCCCAGAGAAACAGAAAGAGAAAGAGAGAGAGAGAGAGAGAGAGAGAGAGAGAGAGAGAGAGAGAGAGAGAGAGAGAGAGAGAGAGAGAGGCATAGATCACCTTTTTACTCGATAAAACCTTTTTATTCGAGCATTATTTGATGCTAAAATATTTTTTCCCTTTGCCTTTTGATTCTTAGAATTCTTAAATTTAGAATCTGTGGATTTTTTTAGATTCTTAGCTTTTGGAGCTTGTCGAATCTTTAGAATAATTGTACTTCTAAATCCTCGAATTCTCGAATCTCAGAACATCATCATTGGTCCCTCGAATTCAACTAAAGGAATTACTATCCTTAAAATACGATTTTTTAAATACAAATTATTTAGAAAATATACTCATGCATGTAATGAATATATTCTTTCTCCGAGACACTCTATACATTGCTCAGAAAGCTCGAAACAAAACGTTGATTTTATTAGTAGGTTCCAACATAATACCAAGTTTTTAAACCTACTTGAATGATAATCATCCTCCCTCGGGAGGATTGTCAAAAAATGTGTCGTTGCAAAAAAATGTGTGTTATTTTTATTACTAATCTTAGAATCATTGCCTATACAATTCTCTCACAGGCAATGAATTAAAAAGACTTGATGGAAATTTTCTAATCGATTTTTAAAGGATCTGAAATTTAATCTCTAACAATAAATTCATTCCTTCCTTCTAATTCGTCTATTTTTTTGTAACGACGAAACAGTGAGGACTAGAAGACGCGATCAGTAATCGTTTCACGTCATCGACTTGACTGTTCGTCGAGCGATCTGCGTGCTTTCAGTCGAAAATCTTCGCAATGATGAATCACATTTTCGGAAGACTAGGCTATGCAAATAACCTTCGATATATGGAAAGATTTAAACTTTGTAAAAAATCTGCAGCTCTAAGCAAAATTATGAGCAAAGAAATTCATAATTAAATAGATTAATTATAAATTTAATTAAAAATAAATAAATAATACTATTTTATTCTTATTATCTTTCTTTCGCACAAAACGGAATCTGCTCTTTCAAAAAGCAACTTCCACCTATCGAAATTCACTCGCATCACCTAATTATAATATCCTTCCGACTGTCATTCGATTAGATCAATCTCTCCTCCGGTGGAGGCTTCATTACATTATCCATCTCCACTCTCGGATTGCTAAACTCCTGAGCACTCGGACTGTACGTGCCACGTGTTGCACGTTTTTTCCTTGCCATCATGAAGAGCGCTACAAGGGATCCGATGGCAATCAGGAGAAGACAGCCCACGATCGGGCCTACAATTACCATTATGTCGAGGGCTTGGTTGCCTAAGCCTAAATAATTATTTTCCGGCTGAAAAATAGAAAATATGAAAAATATTTATTACTGATATATATAAAAGTAAATTACTTTACTTATATAAATAAATTTATATATAATATATTATATATAAATTTATTTATTGGTATATTATCTATAATTATATAGAATAATATATACTTTACAGAATTACTTCTAATAATTACTTTTAATATTTGCTTAACTATATTGTATTATAGAATGATAATACTATAAATATTCTGGATATTTTGACTGATTATGAGACACATCATTGGCAAATTAATAAATTACACAATTTGTGTACATGACATAAATCTTTTCCCAAATTTTATCTTACCTCTGTACAATTTCGTCCCGTGTAATCAGGAGTGCATCGACATATGTATCCGCCATCGTCGGCGCATTCGCATGTGCCACCGTTGTGGCAGAAACTCTAAATAAAAGATCGAAACAAGGGCATTATTAAGTAATTGAGTAGAAACAAAATACGAATAATTATGAATTTTTTTTTACTTTAATTTTTATTATTATAACTTTAATGAGGACTCGTAAAATTTTATTTTCCTAACGCGAGCGTGAAATGGGCCGCTTTTCGCGCTTGTTTTGAGTGAGCAAAACGATCCATTTTTCCACTAGTTGAAAAATGGAGTTATTTATTCTCAACTAGTGGAGAAATGAAATTGTAAAACAAGCGCAAAAAGCGGCCTGTTTCACGCTCTTGTTAAAAAAAATAGTATGAACAACTCGTGGGAAGAGTGGTCGAGCCCAAATGAGTGTGATGCCAAGTGTGAGCCCAACTTCACACTCATTCAGAATCAACCACTTTTCCCACTAGTTGTACAATATACTATTTCTATTAAATCTCCCCAATTTTTTCTGACAACTGATCTGTTAATCCTTGTACCAAGTTTATCCAAGTTTAAAAATTTTTAATTTATTAAATTTTAGCAATCTCTTTTCCATGTCACTTATCTCAATCGCGCTCTTTTACGTTTTTATTTTCTCGACATGAGAGATTAAAGAACTCACCTCCTGACAGGGATTCTCCATGCCGCAATTGTAGCCGCAATAACCGTCGTCACAGTTACACTGATAGATACCAGGTAGATTCTCGCATTTACCGTGTCCGCAATCGATCTCCAAATCCTGACACTCGTCTACGTCGATGGAACAATCGACCCCGGTATATCCGGTGCCTTGGCAGTCGCATATGAAATTGTTCACTCCGTCGTAGCACTTGCCGTCGTTCTTGCAGGGCACATTGCCTTCAGAATCCGGTGCGCAGTCATCGATGTTGGTCTCGCAGGTCATACCGGAGTAACCGAGAGGACAGATGCATTTCGGAATCTATTTTACATTAATAAAATAATTACATTAATAATAATTGATGTGCGCAATGATTAAGCGATACGAAGAAATCTTTGAGAGTTAAAAATTATAAGATTATAAATTCCAAATGTAAATTATTATTTAAAGATTTTCGAAACTTGTAGAATTTAAGTTTAAAATTTTGAAGGTCCAGGAACTCAAAGATCCTAGAATCCAAAAATATAGAACTTGAGAAACTTAATCATTTTTAATGAGGGATCTTTCAAAGTCTGGATCTTAGAACATGAAAATATAAAGATAATATAATAGTGAGAAGGAGGAATTATATATACCTGATTATATAGGAATTGGCATCTACCCCCGTTTTCGCACTTCCTTTTGATGCAATAGGGCGTGTCACAGGTTGGGCCGTCGTAGCCGGGCATGCAGTTACAGGTGAAGTTGTCACTCGTCTTTGGATTCGTCACGTTCATGCAGGTCGCGCCGTTCTTGCACGGCTCGTTCTCGCAGGTGATCAGCCGGAAGCTTTCGCACAGTTCGCCGGTGAATTGATCGGGGCACTCACACCTGAACAAGCCCGGCAGATTCACGCATACGCCATCGTGTTGACACGGACTCAGCGTTACGCACTCGTTGATGTCGCTATCGCATCTGTGACCAGATAGGAAAGGAACTTGATAAGAAAGAGAGTCATAATTCCTTCTTAATCGTTAGAGAATACAGTTTTATGGAATTTATCTTAGTGCTGTTGTGATTATGAGATGCGTATGTGTGTGTAATTTTCTGATCTGATATGATAAGTTGATAAAGTCATGATTTAAAGATTTTGTAATATATAATATTGTCCTACACAAGACATACGATTGTATCAACTGACATTGACGTCAATTAATTATAAATTTATTATTGATAATATAGATAATATTATGTTTTTATTATCAATTAATATTTATTAATTATAGTTAATATCTTGTTTGTTGATTAAGTGTATCATAAATATATACAGAATCAATTTTTTTTTTAAGTCTAATTATATACAAAAATCATCCGTTAAAAACATTAATGATATTATGATTTTATAAAATAACTTTGCTGTATGTATATAATAGTAACGAGAAATATTAATTCCTTCTTGTACACAAAAGCTAAAGTATTAATTTAAAGAGAAAACAATATACTCACAGCCATCCCTGCCAGCCATTCTTACACACACAAGTGTAATTGGCGATACCATCGACGCAAGTCGCACCGTTCTGGCATTTGTTGTCGACGCATTCGTCGATATTAAAAGAGCAGTCATCCTCGGCATAACCCGCGGGACACTCGCATACGTAGCTGTTGACCTTATCAAAGCAATAACCATCGTTCTTGCAATCCGTATCGAAGCACAGTTGGCAGCCGATACTGTCGCGATGAGTGGCGTTGTCGTTACCCTGCAACTCCAGGAACTCCAATGGGGTGAAATTCGCGTTCTGATAAACCTCTTCGTACGTAAAGTAGTGTAGCAACATGCTACCGATACGTACTTCGCCGAGGCAACCCTTAAACGGTTCTCCTGAATGCAAAGAAGAAAGATATGATTCTCTGATTCCAAGAAAAAGCGACAGAGAAAAAGAGTTAATTTTACGGAGATCGTGATTGAAAGTTGTAGATTGAAGAATATATAAGGATTGAGATTGAAAAATTCTCAAATTTTCAGAGAGAAAGATCGGAGTTTACGTAATGGAAATACGTTCTATTAAAAATAATATATGTAAAGAAATACAGACAACATAATGACATTTTAAAGCTAACTAAAACTCTATCAAAATGTTATACGCACCGGATATCATACTATGCGGGGGCATAGCGGTCGTTAGTCTGTGCTCATTATAATCCACGCTATTGCCTTCGATTCCATTTCTCTGTCTAAATCCAATAAAATAAGCGTGCCTATCGGATAAGGCACTGGAAGAAAGTCCACCGAGAGTGACTGTTCCTCTCACCAGTAAATCGTACCATAGTTGGAAGCTGAAGTTGTGACCCACGTGAGGCTGCTCTTCAGTAGGATTAGCGTAACCGCATTCCACAGAATTGTTGTTTAGTCTGATGAGCAGCGAAGTCCAGTTCCCGTCGGGTTGGCTCTTACCAAAGGCGACGATACCCTGGTTTTCTAGATCGAGCCGCCAGGACACAGTGACGGTGTCCCTGAAAACGGACACGGTGAAATGTTGGTCACCCATATGAGGCGCCATGTGAAGCACCGTGCCACCGGTGTTAGATCGATAAGTGATTTCGATGGTGTCGAGTGGTAGGTCACTGGCAGCATCCGTAGCGCGACCATACGCGTACGTGAAGGCAGTGGAAACACCGTCGAAGGTCGCATTGGCGATGCACTCGTAACCATCGTCGAGATTCTGGCAGCGTGAACCCGTCGGGCAGTCTTGCAATTGACAGAATTCCATCTCCTGGCAGGTTTTGCCGGTGTAACCGCGCGGGCACTGGCACCAGAAGTCGTTCCACGTTACGTGACACGTGCCATTATGATTGCATGGACTGCTCACGCATACATCATCCGACACCACGCCTTCGAGGACCTTTTCAGAGTCGAAGGAGACATTGCCGAACTGAACAAGTGCAGGAATATCTTGTGCCTGAAAGAAAATAAGAATTATTTACAAATCTTGAATGAAAGTATGTTGCTGATATGAAAAGGGCTGAAATGTTACAAAGTTACACAAGTTATACAAAGTTACAAAGGAATAATGTTACACAAGATCCAAATCATAAAATTCAGAATTTGAAGAAACACGCACATCAAGTATGTATTTGTTTAAATCTATTACTATACAAACTATACAGTATAACGCACAGATTATAGAGTTAAACAAAATGTATCAAAAAGAACTTAATCACCTTTAGCGGGAAGAATTCTACAACCATCGTTCTCGTGCCATTTGAGATCTGCACGTCTTGGATAATGCCCTTGAAGTTAATTTGCGGCACTTGTTGCACTTCCATCTGCCTGCTATCGACTTGACGAATGTATCGCGATGCTTGAGGTAGTCCTCCTAGATAAAGAATGGTCACGTTCAGGTCTCCCGTGGCACTGATGGTCTTACGGAAGTATTCGGTGCCGTTGATCTTCACTTGGATGAGGGTAACGTTTCTCGCTACTTGAATCAGATGGTTGTTTCCATCGTTAAGCTTCACGCCGCCGACGGTGTAGGCCTCCGTGCCGTTAAACTGGATTCTGACAAGCAGTTCCCCGCCTTCCAATTGCGCCGCTATGTAGGTCTTCTCTTGGGGCTTTTGATCGACTTGAGAATCCGGTTCCGTGCCCAGATAGAAAATATCACCGTAGCTCTCCCGTGTGCGGATGAACATAGAGATGTCGACGACCGAGCTGACGGTACGTCTGACAGCATCGCTAACTCTTACGGTCACGTAACCATTCGTGATATTCTCGTAGCCGAAAGTAGCGGCTGTCATGTTGTACTGACAGGTGTGACCGAGATAAGGACGCTCGCACTTGCAATAGAAGTCGCGCCAACGATCGGTACAATGGCCGCCGTTCTTACAAGGATTAGGTAAGCACTGAGCTTCGCGAGGACAGCCCGATTCCACATCCTCCATGTATACGGTTTTCGACGTGGTGCCGGAGTAAACCTAAAATCAATTTTGGAGACATGAAACGTTGTTATAGAAATTATGAAGGCGTCGCAGTTTATATGAGTTTGAAATTTTATCAGGTGGAAAAATGGTGCAGATTGACAATAAAAAGTGAGAATTTGAGAGTAATAAAGTTGAGACTTGAAAAATAAATTAACAACAGATCGACGTACCCATTCGCCGTTGATGACGACGTCTTCCATACAGCCGACGAAGAAAGTGAACGAGGGTAAGCGGGACAGTCTTCTCAGAAAGCTGAAGGAGCTGATGTGACTCCCACCTACAAAAGTCGTAGGGAAGGATGTGTGATTCGATGAATTGGAGCCTTCGTTCGGACTGATGGGGTAAATAGTCTGTTCCTCGTTGGCCGAAAGAACGAGATGAGTCGCGTTGATCGCCACGAAGGCCTTCTGCCAGTTGGAGTCATTGAGTCCACTACCGACGAAGACTCCATCCCATTTATTCAATATACTAGAGTGTATATTGAGTTTGCCGTTTACCAACTGGAGAATATAAATGGTCACACCTCTACCGATCGCTAGGAGACCATTCGGCAGGGTAGTCCTGAAGCGAAATTGGATATCGTAGCCCTCATCGCGCGTCGTGTTTACTAAGACGTACGAGCTGCCGCTTAGAGACATCGTCGTCACCTGTGAATTCGAAATAACAGTACTCTTTAAGATGTTTATCAAATTGTTTATACAAGCAGAACTCGTTTACGCACCTCCTTCCGCCAGAAGCGCTTCAGAAAGAGTTAACGAGTGCAATAAAGCGTAATTAAGCGTAAATGATGTACATATATTTTTTTGTTGAAAAATCAATAATTGTTTAATTCCAAGGAAATAGTGTGCTTGTGAAAACTTAAAATTATATTATTTAAAGTTATTAAAAAAATATTTACTTCATAAGAAATATAAATACTCACATAATCGCAAACTTCGCCATGGTAGCCGTTGGGGCAGGTGCAGTTGAACTTGTGGATGGTCTCATCGACTAGGTAAGGCCAGCAAGTGCCACCGTTCTGGCAGGCATTGCCCTGACATCCCATCAGCTTCACCGAGCAATTTTTGCCACCGTACTCCGGCTCGCAGGTACAAAAATAGTCGGCTTTAGCGTCGGTGCACACTCCATGCTCGCAGGGATTGTATCTCTTGCACTCGTCAATCTCGTGTTGGCAGTGATCTCCTTCGTAGCCCTCGTCACACTCGCAGGTGTAACCGCCGATACGATCCATACATGTACCTGGACCGCAGGGATTGCTGTCACACTCGTTGATGTTTACCTCACAATTCTTGCCGGTGACACCTTGCACGCAGAGGCACTCATACCTATCATAGGTTTCAAGAACTTATTCCTTTACATGGGATGAAATGTGTGAAAGGTATTTTGTAAGAGTCACAGATTTCAAGTCATCTTCTTAATCGTTAACGTTAGATATACATTTTACGTAGAATTTCTGAATAAAATTAAAGTAAAGTAAGGTCTACTCAAAATTAATGGCAAAGTTAATAGAGAAATGAAGAAAACGGTGTCTAAATTTTTAGGAAAGTAAGGAAAGCTAAGAATAATTAAAAGATTTATTTAAAGACTTACCCGCTGGCATTGGCGTAACTAAACTCCTGAGTGAAGATCGCAGGTAAGTTCAGGGCTTCGCTCTTGTAAAGGTCTTTGTTTGATCGCTCAAGGCAAGTGCCATTGTACTGACAGGGCGAACTCTCACATTCATTCACGTCCACTTCGCAGTTCTTACCAGTGTAACCGGAATAGCATTGACATTTGTAACTCTTGATATCGTCCAGACATAGCCCGTCATTTACACACGGCCGCGACAAACATTCGTCGATATTATTTTCGCAATGTGGACCCTTAAAAATCAGAGTTAAAATAATTTTAGATTATAATTAAAAAATTAGATTTAATAAAACTAGCTCTTACTTTAAATTAAATTAAAAAATTGTATGTAAAATTAAATTAAAATAAAAAGTAAGTTTTATATACATATAATTTTGAGTTAAGTGTAATTAAAAGCAACAATTGTGAAGAATTTAAATTGGCTTACTTTTGAAAATTTATATTTCCGATAAGTTAAACATTACGTTAAATTAAATTAAAAGATTAAGTATATATTAATTAAGATTCTACCTCGAAACCAGTATCACTGCAGTCGCATGTGTAGTCGTTTACACCATCGATGCACTTTCCTTGATTCATGCAGGGTGACGATTCGCATTCGTCGACGTTGATCTCGCAATTAGCACCGAGGAAACCCGCCGGGCACACGCACATGTACGATGCTATACCGTTTACGCACTGCGCCCCATTGTGGCACGGATCGCTGTCGCACTCGTTCACGTCTATCTCGCAGGTCTTGCCGGTGTAACCGGGTTGACATATACATTGAAACATGTTGATGCTATCGCGACACGTAGCATTATTCTTGCATGGGCCGCACAAACACTCATCGATGTTGATGTCACAATGATCACCGGAGAAGCCCGGCCGGCAGAAGCAATTGTAGCCACCATCGGTATTGATACAAATCCCATAGTTGCACAGGGAATTACCGTGCAACTCACACTCGTTCACATCAAGCTCACAATACTGACCTGCAAGTAATATTTAATGAATGTAATTCTCTCTCATTTTTTGTAAAAAAGTCTTTGAAATTGTATTCCATTTTTCTGACAATACAAATAAGTTACAAAAATCTCTTTTTTTAATAAGTACAAGTGCATACTAAAGTAATTCTCTAATGCGCAAATATAAAACTATAAAACTAAATTTATATAACAGTAAATCATAACCATCATAATTAAATTTAAAAAAATGTAATTAGGCAAAAATAATTAAAAGTAGGATAAAGTATGCCAGAATAATTTAAATTGCAATTTTGTGTTTTAAAGTGATATAAAAATAATATGAATTAAATTAAATTAGTAAAATAATTACTAGAAATTATATGTTTCAAAATAATTCTTTAAAGTTTTTGAAATTCTTGATTGATTTGACGAGTTATTCTATTGCCTTAAATTCGACGATACCTTGAAAGCCTTCTGCACACTGGCACTCGAAGCCGTGCTCGCCGAGGTCGATGCACGTGCTGTTATGGTCGCACGGTTTTGTCGCACAGTGATCTACAATCAACGTGCAATTCGGATCTCTGTAGCCCTCAGGGCATTTGCATTCGTAACCAGCAATCCCGTCAACGCAAACCTTATCATCCGGACACACCACGCCAATGCAATCGTCGATATTCACGTCGCACACCTTGAATCATATCGTATTCAATTTAATTACATTTACATTTCGGCATCGAAATCTCTGTTGTATAACGTAAAATCTATACATCTTATATAAATAAAAATTATAAGTAAATAGTTAAAATGTATTAGATATATATATGTATATAATATATAAAAATTCAAATTGGATTTTTTAAATATAATATTTATATATTTATTACAATGTATTACGATACCTTGCCCTCGAAACCGTGTGGACATTCACAAACAAATTCTCTCTTTGATCTTGGCATCAGCGTACAAGTACCATTATTCTGACAAGGATTTACGACGCATGCATCGTATTCCCGTTCGCAATTATCACCCACGAAGTCTCTGGTGCAGTTACAGATGTATCCATTGACACGGTCGATGCAGGTACCACCATTTTGGCATGGCTGCGATAGGCACTCGTCTATGTCGATCTGACAGTTCTTTCCTGCAAAATAAGCATCGCTCTCTTTTAGACAGAAAATTCTAGGCGTTTTAAAAAACCATTAATATAATTAATATAAAAATAATTAAAAATAGTTCTCATTTACGGTTAAATTATGACTATTTTCTTGCTTCGCTGAAGAAATAAAGAAATTTGTAAAAAAAGAGAATTATAATTAAAATAATTATAGAGAGATATGAATATAAAAATTATATTTATATAAAGAAAGAGAGCATTTATAAGCTCGTGATACATATCAAACGGGCGACTTCTCATCTACGTAAAGTGTCAATGTTAGAATAATTTCACAGCAACGGAGCAAGTAAATGCTGTTAATTTTAATCGTAATTAATTTTACCTCTCCATTCAGACGGGCAGGTGCAGCTGAAACCATCTCTGCCGCTGGTACAAGTGCCACCGTTGGCGCAGGGGTTGCTGGCGCAATAGTTGACAGTGCAATTAGGAGGATTACCCATGAAACCGGGATTGCAGACACATTGAGGTCCATGAGCATCCTCCACGCAGATGCTGTTAGGAGGACAGGCCGCGTTTTCGCAGAGGCCCCTCAGCTCGCAATGGCGACCCATGAATCCTGGGAGGCATTCGCAATGGTAAGTGCCCACATCATCAACACATTTGCCGCCGTTGGCACAGGGTTCGGACAAGCACTCGTTCAAGTTAAACTCGCAGTTCTGACCCTCAAAGCCCGCCGAACAATGGCAGATGTAGGCACCGTAATAATCATAGCATACGCCGTTGTTCTGACACGGGTTCGGCTGACACTCGTCGATGTCCACGTCGCAGTTGATGCCCTCATAGCTGAGGAAAAGAAATGGAAAAGCGTTTGAGATGTACGAAAAAATCTAAGAATCTATGCACTACTATGCAGTATTATTACACTCTCGTGGGATTTGAGATCTCTTGAAATTTGAAATAGATGAAATTTAAATTCCTTAAAATCCTTAAATTCCTTAATTTATAATCTATATATATATATATATGTGTGTGTGTGTGTGTGTGTGTGTGTGTGAGATTGATATTTTACAAAATTTAAGATTAATAGAAATGTAAAAATTTTAGAACATGTATTAAATCTATGATCTAGAATATGTACAGTCATGCGAGAATTTGCAGAATAATAAATCATCTTTGTAAAAGATTTAAAAATCTCCAATTAATAATCCGTGAAGACGAAAAATTGATGAACAATGCTGAAGATGCGAATCACGTAGACTGCAATTTAAAGTTTAATTTCAGATTCTTGAAGAGACTCACCCGGTGCTGTTACATCTGCAGGTATAATTATTGTTCCCGTCGATGCAGATGCCACCGTTCTTGCACGGATTCGAAGCGCATTCGTTAATATTATTTTCGCAATTCTTTCCAGTCCAACCAGCCTGACACTGGCACTTGTACTCGCTGTCTGTTAGCGCTATACAAATGCCATCGTTTCTACACGGATTCTGTTCACATAATCGTACGCCCAGTTGAGATTCGCAAAAGCCGCCAGTAAATCCGGGCTTGCAACTGCAACTGAAGTCACCGCGCGCATCTTCGCTACAGATACCGCCGTTACGACAAGGTCCGTTCTGACAGGGTGAGCCTGAGAAGAAAATTCGATTTCTTGTTAGAGATATTTCCTTAGAGAGATAAAGTCGACGAATGAAAGATGAGGTGATATTAATTGCGATAACATTGATTGATTAATTGCATGCACAAGTGAGAGAACCCTTTTTAAAATTATATTTGTTATACCTATAATTATATCTGTAATAATAAATAAATTATAAATTATAAATACATTATTATAAATCTAAAAATTATAAATAATTAATTGTTGGTAAAATTACAAAATATAGATAGACGAAAAAATAAAATTGTTAAAAATAAATGTTAAGTGTTCTACATTTAGTTTGAGTGGAATACAACTCTGGCGTTTGTCTTTTATATGTATATATTTGCACGTTTAACTATATGTAATTTTTCGCAAAGCAACTTATCTTGCTTAACTTCGAAGCAATTTTCTCGAGAAACGGTGTCGTTCAAAGAAGGAAAAAGATAGCACGGCAATAGTTATCTAAAGTAATTGAGCGAGCGTGATTTTTTGAAGCAAATGTCTGAATGCGAGGGAAAAAGCGTTTCTAAAAGTTTCTACAGATTGTCTCAAATCAAAGCAGAACAGATCCACATTTACGATGTGCGAGAACTAGTGGGGAAAGACAACGCAGATTTCACACCCATTTATCACGACGATGTAATGATATTAATAAATTCTAATCTTTTATAAGGGAAAATACGTTAGTATTAAATATTCAAATATAAATAAAAATATATAAAAAATTTCTCATAGATATATTTTGTTCTGCGACGATTATCTATACAGAGGGTTCGAGAAATATATGACTTATTAAATTGTACTTAAAAGAAAAATAATCTTCCGGCGGTTAACTTTTCATTCATATTTTAATCCCAATTTATATTTCAATCTGTATATATAAAATGTTTAATTTAAATCTTAATTTTTAATTTTGCAATATCTTTATAAAATGTTTTTGTAAAACTGGGGGAGCAAATCTACGATGAGACAATATCTTCTCATCACGGTGCAATTATACGTGACGTAACATTGCCGTTTAACGCGCGCGTCGGGTATGAATCCGCTCGCCCCACATACGCGCCGTAAACCCTGCATATTCAAGATATCGACGAAGTCTACCATTGTCAATCTCGCAGTTGTTGCCGGAGTATCGGGCGTAACAGCGGCACTCGTAGCGATTCTGCCGCGACACGCATTTACCGTGCATCATGCATGGCTCGTTGTGGCAGAAATCCATAGTGGGGGCCGTAGCAGCAGGTGCCCCTGTGCTACCCCCGTGGCCCTTCGTTCCACCTGAAAATTTTTAGTTTTTCACAAAACTCACATGCAATGTGTGCATTTTTCTCAGAAAAAACACGTGCAACTTTTAAAATACTTTTTTTTCTCTCTTGCCCCTCTTCTCCCCTTCCTTCCTTCTTGTCGTAATCTAGTTCTACATAAAAATGATGCAAAAGATTTGCAAAAAACTATCATGATAAATCTGTTCCCAAAAAAAGAGATGAAAAACGATAAAAAAATTTAGAGCAAAATTCTTTCCGTTTCTAATTCTAAGACGAAACTGCGAATACATGTTACATTTAATAACTATTAATAAAATATATGGATGATCAAATGGAAAAAGGAGAAATATTTAATAACATGATAAGATAAAAAGATTAAACAAATTTAAGAAAAACTCTCCTAAAAATTCTTGTTCTTCTCTAATTTGTTCATTTATCTCACGATACAGCCTACTGTTATCATTGAATCATAGATATAGCCTAAAAGGTCATCTATAAGAGTGTTTTATTTGCGACGAGCATGGTATCGATCTATCATTGCAAGGTAATCCACTCGATGATTTACCAGACTTACCTAATAACTCTAGCCTAAGAGTGTTCTATTTATTTGTATAGCAACTACGCTATCGATCTAGCATACTCATGTGTGATAACTCAACGCTTATCGGTGCAAGAATACTCTATGATAAATTTAAAAAAAAAATTATTCTAGTAGAGAGTAAAGAGTTATGAATTCTTACATCCTTTGGTATCCAACGGGCAGGGTCCGAAAACGGCCCCATTATTGACGCTGTTGTTGAAGAGAATCCCGGGCCCTTGCAAGACGCAACCTTTGAACCCTTCGCCGACTATGAGCGAACTGTTCACGTCATAATCGGGAAGCGTTAGGATGGCGGAATTGTAAGTCGCATTCGCAACCATCTAAAGAAAACGTTTCTATACATCTATGCCTTTCTTAAAAATTAAGATTGACTTACAATTAGCACATTTCGATCTTTGTATAAATAAATATTCAAAATCTATTAAGTTAATGCTTAATTTAGTAAATATCTAAAGTGATGAATTTTTTTAACAAGCACGGTTTATAAAACCTTTGGAAATAATCTAAAGCAAATAAAATACAGTATTATTGTATTTTGGATATTATATCAAACATTAAAAATTTAATTTTGTATATCTTGTATTTAATTATATCTCTGTTATGTATGAACTTGTATCCTTAATCAGAACTTACCTGTGTGTGCCCCGCGGCATTTAGGGTGAGATTGCCAAGCCTAAAGAGCAAATTGACGTTGTGCCAGGCGTTGTTGAGCAACCTGGCGTTTAGTCTGGCTCCATATCTCTGCTGATCGACCACAGCCACGAAGAGCAGTCCCTCGGGTGTCACCTCGAGACTAATCGAATTGTCATCGTACTTCTGTAGGAATAGTCGACCGGGTTCGCACGTGCGGAAGCTGAGGCCGCTGTGACGGTGCACCGATACAAAGGAGCTCAATTTCAGGAACGCCGAGCCGTTGAAGTAGGCCTCGCGAGGATGCTCCTCATAGTTTTGATGTCTGGAATTCTGGGGAGTTTCCTGAGTGATAGCCAATAGAGTGGCCAGGACTGCAACACAGAAAAGTCCGTTAGGAAGTCTGACGTGAAAGGCCTTTAGATCAGAGCAATGTTCATTTAACGTTATAGTTTTTGTAGATCTTGTGGATTTTATGGATCATTAGTCATACGGTTCATCGATCCTGGTTATTGTGGTCATCGCGAATACAGATCCTTAATTCTTGAAATATTACAAATGTACATTTGATTTTAATTCTTTTTAATAAAAAAGTTCTTAAGAAGAATTTGAGGCCAACTATTGTCATGCCGGCCGTGTTTATCAAAATTACATTTAGAAATAAAAAAAAAAATATATATATATATATATATAATCAAACTTTTCTTTAAATTGAAATTATAAATGTTGTTAATTTATTAATAAAAGCAGAGAAATTAAACAGTAGGCTTTATATAAAAGTCTAAAAAATTGTTCTCTATATAATCTGATTTTTCGTTTCTCTTGAATATATCAGTTCTTTTTCTCATGATATTGCA